AAGGAAGAATTATGGGAAATGGGAAGAAACAACACTTTTAAAGATGTACATCATCAATAAAATGAAAAAAAATACATTTCAAATTATTTGCAAAGCTTTATATTGTATTTGTGGATTTAAAAAATAAAAGAACGGTAAGTCCCACTCACTTAGCACTAAATAATCCAATGAACAATATAGAAGTGCCAAACTTTGAGAGAAGTGGCATTGTGGGGGAAAAATAGATGAGCATTTACCCATCCCCAATACAGTAAGTAAAATAATACCCAACACCTTTGAAACCAAAATGAAACTTGAGAGATTGTTACAACACTGTACAGTTTACTCAATTAAAATTTTAAGTTGTGGGGTGAGGGTGGGGCTAGTATAATAAATCACACTCCCAAAGAGATATTAACACAATATGTGGACTGTAAGTAAAGTGCATGATAGGAAGCCTGCTCAGCTAAATGAAGTAGACTGAAAGATCAGAAGTCAAGGGTCATTCACCAGAGCGGCAGCAGGCCCGAAAACCACACTGCAAGTTCTGGCATCCACTGGCAGTTTCAGCATGAGGACCTGCATAAAAACAGAACAAATGTGAAAGGAGGAAAACAGGGTTTTTTGTCCATCATTAGGATTGTCTTGGCAACCTGGTTATTTATGAATTAGCTGATTCTGCCCCAAGGAACATGAGTTTAGAACTGAAGAATTCTGAAAACAAACCTCCATGAGTATCCCTGTATAAATGCAGCTCACTGATTTTCCACTCTAATTTGGCTGATGCCTTATTCCCACCCAAACACTTGCGGTTACACCTTTACATTAAAATATCAAAAACAGCACATAATATAGAAAGCAACCTGACTTCATTACCTTTCATACTACAAGATTCATCTGATATAACTGTATTTTTTTAACCCTTTCAGACACATTTCCACATTTTTTTCCATTCAAATTCACTTGAGTCTGGCTTCCAACATAACCACACAAGTACAATTTTAATAGTGAGATTGTGAAAAGCTCTCCAGAACCCACCTTTTCCCCTCAATACACTGAAAATACAAATAAAAACATAAGAATGTATTTTTAGTACTTTTAATACATTTTAGAATGTAATTACAATCAGAAAAGTTATGCACTGACAATAGCATCCGTGTGTCTCTGGCACCACTTGCTCTCAAGCAGTAACTTAAATCAAAAGTGGTAAGTTCCCAAATAAAATGATTTATTTAGATTCCACACTGAAAGCAAAACCTGGTGTCTGGAAATCTGTTTTCTACATACATCATAAATAAGAATCTGTATAAGGCAGAATAAAATACACATGACGTGTCTGCAAGACATCAGCTCCACGGTGTTTAAAACAAAAACCTGTGTTCATCAGACAACTGACCTGAAAAGGTAAAATGACAAAGTGCCATTTTACAGTAATGTTTCTGATCAACTTTCTAATCACTGTGCCAAATTTTGATCCAAGATAAAGCAATGAGCTGATACAGTATGAAATACTTAAACAATCCATAGATATGTAAAAAGTTATTTAATCTTTGTGCAGTGCTTGGAAATACAATGCTACATTTGCACAAAGTATTACTAAATTAAAGCAAATTTAAGAGGATGCAGATGAAAGTTATTTAAACAAATAGTTTAGTTTATTGCTAATTATTTTTTCTGACATTATCTTTGAAAAACAAAGTGATATAAGAATAACTTCAGTAATCACAAAAAGCAGCTGCCTCTGGAGTGGACTATAGCACACCACACCATAGTAAACCACTTTTTAATAAGCACTGAATACAATAACCAGTTCAAGAATATGTTATTCAAATGAGTATGCTGCTGGGACATCATGGCCAACTCTTTGAGCCCTTATACAGGGTAAAAAAGGTTGTGGTCCTGACTAATACTAAACCAGAGGTATGTGTATCCCTTGGGGTATGCAGAGGTCTTCCACAGGATACATTAATCCCTCTGGATATTTGCCTAGTTTTACAACAGGCTACATAAAAGGCTCTAGTGAAATCAATACAAACTAAAATTTTGCAATCACCTGCTATACTAAATGTAACTATAATATTTATATTCCAATTGATTTATAATTATTTGGTAACAATGAGAAAGTAAGCAATTTTTCAATAGCATGCCATGACATTTTGCAAGTTTATGTCAGACGCTGTAAATCAAGTCATTTTTAAGTGAGGTGAAACTTGGGGGTAAGACAAATCAAGACTCCTGAAAGGATTTCAGTCATCTGTAAAGGTTGAGAACCACTGGTTAAGGCAAGTATTAAAGTCCTTAGGAGATCTCACCTAAGAAAACAAACAATTTAAGAAATTACATTTGATCTCCCTAAATTATCCCTGATGTGGTAATTGTTCACACAGCATGCAAAAACACATTTGATGCTTTGCAGAACAGACAGAAGTACATGGTGCCTGCCCTGAAGATCTTATAACCTACTTTTAGACATGATGCAATAAGTGAGGGTAAGGACCAGCATTAGAGTAGTAGAGCAGTAGGTTTGCAAAATTACAATTACTGCTTTCTTGGGGGCAGAGGGGGAATGATTGTTTTTAATAAGACTCATTTCTTGTGGGCAACATGAAAGAACTAAGAGTTAATGGGCTGGGAGTAGTAAAAGACAGTTGTGGCTTGGTAGACTGGGGGGGGGGGGGGGGAAGAGGTGGAAGAAGACATGGAAATAGTGACAGGTAAAGCAATCAAGACTGGCATCACTGACGGAATGGAAGAAAACAGAGGAATAGCAAAAGCAAGTAGCTCCAAGAAGTAGGAGGGACAGGTTTGCACAAGCCATTGAAAAAACACATTGTGAAGAACAGGAAATCACTTAGGAATTCATTTAGGAAGGCCGACATGATCGTAACAACTGATAAAGAAGATCATTTTAGCAGCTGCATTCTAGATTCAATGGAAAGAAGCAATGAGAGCACTGAGGAAGCCCGAGAAAAGAGAAGGTGCAGGAACTGAGATGCAGAGCATAAACAGGATACCAAGTAAGGATGTTAAAATAGGGATGTTAGATAGTGTGTAATTGAATAGTCGTATAACCACATTCAATTTTATTGGTTACACAACTACTCAATAGTCTCCAGAGGCAGGGCCAGCAGCCAATGCGGTTCTGGCTTCCCCCTCCCCTCCACAGGAGCCCCTGCCACCCAGTGCTGCTGTCCCTCTATCAGAGGCAGGAGCCAGTCCACCAGGGGAGCTGGTTTAAAAATCAGCTTCCCATGCAGCCTGGCTTGCTTGCCACCCTGCACTGCTGCCTCTGACCGAGTAGCAGCAGCACGGGTTGGCACAGCCCCTGTCCAGGAGAGTGGGGAATCCAAGCTCCCCATGAACAGAGGCTGCTCCGCAGCAGCATGGGAAGGAAGGGGACAGGTCGCACCATGGAAAAGGTGCTGGGGGTAGCCAGCTTTTAAGATTGATCACCTCTGCCCTCCTCTGCCTCTGTATGGGGGAGAAGGGGCGATC